CAAGGCTGGAGGAGACAAGGCTGGAGGAGACAAGGCTGGAGGAGACAAGGCTGGAGGAGACAAGGTTGGAGGAGACAAGGTGGAGGAGACAAGGCTGGAGGAGACAAGGCTGGAGGAGACAAGGCTGAGGAGACAAGGCTGAGGAGACAAGGCTGGAGGAGACAAGGCTGGAGGAGACAAGGCTGGAGGAGACAAGGCTGAGGAGATAAGGCTGGAGGAGACAAGGCTGGAGGAGACAAGGTGGAGGAGACAAGGCTGGAGGAGACAAGCTGGAGGAGACAAGGCTGAGGAGACAAGGCTGGAGGAGACAAGGTGGAGGAGACAAGGCTGGAGGAGACAAGGCTGGAGGAGACAAGGCTGGAGGAGACAAGGCTGGAGGAGACAAGGTGGAGGAGACAAGGTGGAGGAGACAAGGCTGGAGGAGACAAGGCTGGAGGAGACAAGGCTGGAGGAGACAAGGCTGAGGAGACAAGGCTGGAGGAGACAAGGCTGAGGAGACAAGGCTGAGGAGACAAGGCTGGAGGAGACAAGGTGGAGGAGACAAGGCTGGAGGAGACAAGGCTGGAGGAGACAAGGCTGAGGAGACAAGGCTGGAGGAGACAAGGCTGAGGAGACAAGGCTGAGGAGACAAGGCTGGAGGAGACAAGGCTGGAGGAGACAAGGTGGAGGAGACAAGACTGGAGGAGACAAGGCTGGAGGAGACAAGGCTGGAGGAGACAAGACTGAGGAGACAAGGCTGAGGAGACAAGGCTGGAGGAGACAAGGCTGGAGGAAACAAGGTGGAGGAGATAAGGCTGAGGAGACAAGGCTGAGGAGACAAGGTGGAGGAGACAAGGCTGAGGAGACAAGGCTGAAGGAGACAAGGCTGGAGGAGACAAGGCTGGAGGAGACAAGGTGGAGGAGACAAGGTGGAGGAGACAAGGCTGGAGGAGACAAGGCTGGAGGAGACAAGGTGGAGGAGACAAGGCTGGAGGAGACAAGGCTGGAGGAGACAAGGCTGAGGAGACAAGGCTGGAGGAGACAAGGCTGAGGAGACAAGGCTGGAGGAGACAAGGCTGAGGAGACAAGGCTGAGGAGACAAGGCTGGAGGAGACAAGGCTCAGGAGACAAAGCTGGAGGAGACAAGGCTGGAGGAGACAAGGCTGAGGAGACAAGGCTGGAGGAGACAAGGCTGAGGAGACAAGGCTGAGGAGACAAGGCTGGAGGAGACAAGGCTGAGGAGACAAGGCTGAGGAGACAAGGCTGGAGGAGACAAGGCTGGAGGAGACAAGGCTGAGGAGACAAGGCTGGAGAGAAGGCTGGAGGAGACAAGGTGGAGGAGACAAGGCTGGAGGAGACAAGGTGGAGGAGACAAGGCTGAGGAGACAAGGCTGGTGGAGACAAGGTGGAGGAGACAAGGCTGGAGGAGACAAGGTGGAGGAGACAAGACTGGAGGAGACAAGGCTGGAGGAGACAAGACTGAGGAGACAAGGCTGAGGAGACAAGGCTGGAGGAGACAAGACTGGAGGACAAGGCTGGAGGAGACAAGGCTGCAGGAGACAAGGCTCAGGAGACAAAGCTGGAGGAGAAAGGTGGAGGAGACAAGGCTGGAGGAGACAAGGCTGAGGAGACAAGGCTGGAGGAGACAAGGCTGGAGGAGACAAGGCTGAGGAGATAAGGCTGGAGGAGACAAGGCTGGAGGAGACAAGGTGGAGGAGACAAGGCTGGAGGAGATAAGGCTGGAGGAAACAAGGTGGAGGAGATAAGGTGGAGGAGACAAGGCTGGAGGAGACAAGGCTGAGGAGACAAGGTGGAGCAGATAAGGTGGAGGAGACAAGGCTGGAGGAAACAAGGTGGAGGAGATAAGGTGGAGGAGACAAGGCTGGAGGAGACAAGGTGGAGGAGACAAGGCTGGAGGAGACAAGGCTGAGGAGACAAGGCTGGAGGAGACAAGGCTGGAGGAGACAAGGCTGAGGAGACAAGGTGGAGCAGATAAGGTGGAGGAGACAAGGCTGGAGGAGACAAGGCTGGAGGAAACAAGGTGGAGGAGACAAGGTTGGAGGACAAGGCTGAGGAGACAAGGCTGGAGGAGACAAGGCTGGAAGAGACAAGGCTGAGGAGACAAGGTGGAGGAGACAAGGCTGGAGGAGACAAGGCTGGAGGAGACAAGGTGGAGGAGACAAGGCTGAGGAGACAAGGCTGGAGGAGACAAGGTGGAGGAGATAAGGCTGGAGGAGACAAGGCTGGAGGAGACAAGGCTGAAGGAGACAAGGCTGAGGAGATAAGGCTGGAGGAAACAAGGTGGAGGAGATAAGGCTGGAGGAGACAAGGCTGGAGGAGACAAGGCTGGAGGAAACAAGGTGGAGGAGATAAGGTGGAGGAGATAAGGTGGAGGAGACAAGGCTGAGGAGACAAGGCTGGAGGAAACAAGGTGGAGGAGACAAGGCTGAGGAGACAAGGCTGGAGGAGACAAGGCTGAGGAGATAAGGCTGAGGAGACAAGGCTGGAGGAGGACAAGGCTGGAAGAGACAAGGCTGAGGAGACAAGGCTGGAGGAGACAAGGCTGGAGGAGACAAGGTGGAGGAGACAAGGCTGGAGGAGACAAGGTGGAGGAGACAAGGCTGAGGAGACAAGGCTGGTGGAGACAAGGTGGAGGAGACAAGGCTGGAGGAGACAAGGTGGAGGAGACAAGACTGGAGGAGACAAGGCTGGAGGAGACAAGACTGAGGAGACAAGGCTGAGGAGACAAGGCTGGAGGAGACAAGACTGGAGGAGACAAGGCTGGAGGAGACAAGGCTGCAGGAGACAAGGCTCAGGAGACAAAGCTGGAGGAGACAAGGTGGAGGAGACAAGGCTGGAGGAGACAAGGCTGAGGAGACAAGCTGGAGGAGACAAGGCGGAGGAGACAAGGCTGGAGGAGACAAGGTGGAGGAGACAAGGCTGAGGAGACAAGGCTGGTGGAGACAAGGTGATGGATGGATGATGGTTGGATGATGGTTGTATGATGGATGGATGATGGTTGTATGATGGATGGATGATGGATGGATGATGGTTGGATGGATGATGGATGGATGATGGTTGGATGATGGATGGATGATGGTTGGATGATGGTTGGATGATGGATGGATGATGGTTGGATGATGGATGGATGATGGTTGGATGATGGATGGATGATGGTTGGATGATGGATGGATGATGGTTGGATGATGGATGGATGATGGTTGGATGATGGTTGGATGATGGATGGATGATGGTTGGATGATGGATGGATGATGGTTGGATGATGGATGGATGATGGTTGGATGATGGTTGGATGATGGTTGGACGATGGATGGATGATGGTTGGATGATGGATGGATGATGGTTGGATGATGGTTGGATGATGGATGGATGATGGTTGTATGATGGATGGATGATGGTTGGATGATGGATGGATGATGGATGGATGATGGTTGGATGATGGATGGATGATGGATGGATGATGGTTGGATGATGGATGGATGATGGTTGGATGATGGTTGGATGATGGATGGATGATGGTTGTATGATGGATGGATGATGGTTGGATGATGGATGGATGATGGTTGGATGATGGATGGATGATGGTTGTATGATGGATGGATGATGGTTGGATGGATGATGGATGGATGGATGATGGTTGGATGATGGTTGGATGATGGATGGATGATGGTTGGATGATGGATGGATGATGGTTGGATGATAGATGGATGATGGATGGATGATGGTTGGATGATGGATGGATGATGGATGGATGGATGATGGTTGGATGGATGGATGATGGTTGGATGATGGATGGATGATGGTTGGATGATGGTTGGATGATGGATGGATGATGGTTGGATGATGGTTGGATGATGGATGGATGATGGTTGGATGATGGTTGGATGATGGATGGATGATGGTTGGATGATGGATGGATGATGGTTGTATGATGGATGATGATGGTTGGATGATGATGGATGGATGATGGTTGGATGATGGTTGGATGATGGTTGGATGATGGTTGGATGATGGTTGGATGATGGATGGATGATGGTTGGATGATGGATGGATGATGGTTGGATGATGGTTGGATGATGGATGGATGATGGTTGGATGATGGATGGATGATGGATGGATGATGGTTGGATGATGGATGGATGATGGTTGGATGATGGATGGATGATGGTTGGATGATGGTTGGATGATGGATGGATGATGGTTGGATGATGGTTGGATGATGGATGGATGATGGATGGATGATGGTTGGATGATGGATGGATGATGGTTGGATGGATGATGGATGATGGTTGGATGATGGTTGGATGATGGATGGATGGTTGGATGATGGATGGATGATGGTTGGATGATGGATGATGGATGGATGATGGTTGGATGATGGATGGATGATGGTTGGATGATGGATGGATGATGGTTGGATGATGGTTGGATGATGGATGGATGATGGTGGATGATGGATGGATGATGGTTGGATGATGGATGGATGATGGTTGGATGATGGTTGGATGATGGATGGATGATGGTTGGATGATGGATGGATGATGGTTGGATGATGGATGGATGATGGATGGATGATGGTTGGATGATGGATGAATGATGGTTGGATGATGGATGGATGATGGTTGGATGATGGTTGGATGATGGATGGATGATGGTTGGATGATGGTTGGATGATGGATGATGGATGGATGATGGTTGGATGATGGATGGATGATGGTTGGATGGATGATGGATGGATGATGGATGGATGATGGTTGGATGATGGATGGATGATGGTTGGATGATGGATGGATGATGGATGGATGATGGTTGGATGATGGATGGATGATGGTTGGATGATGGATGGATCCAGAGCCGGATCCTCGGTGCCGATACCAAACTCCAGGCCGGTACTTCTGGGCGTCTCGCTGGTCTGCTGTGGTTCTAGCAGAACTTTGGGTTTCGTCTAGTCGGGTTAAGAGTCATGATGCCGGTCAGAACCGGAGCACAAGATACTGAACCTCCAGTTGAGTCAGTGATGTTAACTGAGCTCTGAAGATCCCTTGGATGGTGCTGGTCTGTTGGGTCTCCATGCTGCTGCTTGTCTGCACCAGAAACCAGGTAATCGGGCCAGGGTTCTGACCCGCTTAGTGGGATTATTTAGACCTGGGGAGTTAAGAAATGATGTTGGACAGAAGGAATTAAACCGATCAGAAAGAGGAAATGAGAAGTTTTATTTTCAGTCTGTTTATTTCTTCACTTTGCTGCAAATCAGGATTTAAAGAAGATCATCTGAACAGTTCTTCATCATCATCATCATCATCATCATCGTCATCATCGTCAGAGCAACAAAATAAAACCTGATCAAATAAAATATATAAATACAAGTTGCAATATTGCAGCAGAACAAAGTGCGACCAGGTTCAGCGCGGCGGATTCTTCTAAAATAAAACAGAAAGAGGCCCGGAGGAGGAGCAGCGCCGGATACAGGTCCGGTCCAGTACCGGATCAGAACTTCCTGTACATTCCTGACTTATGAGCCGATCTGGACCTCCTCAGCAACATCCAGAAACACGACAAAGAAAATCTGAAGATTCATCAGCAGGACAAGGGTTCCTGCTAATCTCTGGAGCTGGAGCGGCCTCCTCCAGAACCAGATCCAGAACCAGATCCAGAACCAGATCCAGAACCAGATCCAGGTGGTTCTACTACAACCAGAACCAGGCTGCGGTGACAAAGTGCACTTCAGCTCCACATGCTAACTCACCGACGTGCAAACTGTGAACATCAACATGTATTTACAGAACAGCTGCAAAGTTCTGGTCCGGCTCGCCAGGAGGAGACGGAACCAAACCTCTGGAGAGCTCTAGAACCCGGCCGCTGTCTGCTCCTCAAGGTAAGGCAACCAGATTCTCTGCTCTCTGATTGGACGGTCAGATCTGTAGCTCTGTTCTAATTGTCCAATCAGAGCATCAGGAGGTTTTGTGAACCAATGAAAATGTCTCAAAACTTTCTGTTGAAAGTCATTTTTGTTGCTGTGAGGCTGATTAACTCCCGGGAGCCAAACGTTAAACGTCACGGTTCTGACTCAGCTGATTGCTCAGACTGGACCCAACCTGGTCTCAGAACCTCAGGTCAGGTCCAGATGTGTTTCCAGGTGTGGAGCAGGTTTCTGCAGGTGGAACCAGAGGAGACGTCACACTAGAGCAACAATCAATGCTTTGGAGAACCTCAATTTGATCCAAAGTTCTGGACGAGTTCAACGGGTCGGGTCGGTCACGTTGAGAACAATCAGAAGGTGCTGCTGAACTTCTGGATCCGGCCATGTGAACTGATGGAGAAGCCGCAGGAGAACCGGGTCGGCTCCAGCTCAGAAGCAAAGCAGGACAGCAGGTTAGGGCGGAGCGGGAAGTTCTGCTCGGGTCCAGAAGGTTCTGAAGGTTCTACAGGACCAATTAACTGTGAGAGGAAACGTCGGAGGAGCTGCTGCTGTTGCTGTTGGTGGTTTGGGCCCGCTTGATGTAGAGGTTCAGAAGCTTCATCTGCAGACAGAGACAGAACCGTCAGGAGAACCGGCCCGGTTCGCGGGACCGTCGGGAGAACCGGCCCGGTTCGCGGGACCGTCGGGAGAACCGGCCCGGTTCGCGGTCTGGATGTGGTTTGGATCCTTCTACAGAGTTGACTGGTTTAGAGCCAAGGTCCAGAAGGCTCTGGACGTCACCAGGTCAGAACCAAGACGCGGCATGGCCTGCGTCAAGCGTTTATCACTAAAGCACTGATCTCATGACCTAGAACAGAGGTCCCCAACCTTTTCAGTACTGCGGACCCGGTCAAGACTTGGCCATTTGCCTGGGGGGCGGTGGGGGCGTCGGATAATGCTTCTGCATGTTGACGTTCCCGCTAAACCTTTTTTCCCCTGATTTTCCCTTTATGACAATCTTACAACGTCCTGATGTGTGGTGTGTTGAATATTCATCGCGGTCTCGGCCCGATTATCGCAGCCTGTTGAATGTGACAGGGAGCCAATCGGAACGCACGGTGACGTAAGAACAGAGGCGATGCCAAACCGTTGACATCGGAGGTGATGTGTGGAAAAGTTTATGACTACATGTAAAGCTCATTATTATATATGTTTATTATATGTGTTTATGTTTATTCAGTTAAAATGTTATGAATCATAGAGCAGCAAATAGAGCAGCTGCTCCTTTTATCAAACGCCTTTTCTTTTTGTTTCGTCTTTAAAATGATCCACAAACTATCACTGCTGCTCCTGCATCATCTTCTTATTCTGAATTCATTATGGGATTTTACTGGATCTCCTTCTGGAACCGGGACGTTCAGAGGAACCCGTTCGTTCAGTGGAACCGGGACGTTCAGTGGAACCGGGACGTTCAGAGGAACCGGGACGTTCAGTGGAACCGGGACGTTCAGAGGAACTGGGACGTTTAGTGGAACCGGGACGTTCAGTGGAACCGGGACGTTCAGAGGAACCGGGACGTTCAGTGGAACCGGGACGTTCAGAGGAACTGGAACGCTCAGTGGAACCGGGACGTTCAGTGGAACCCGTTCAGTGGAACCGGGACGTTCAGAGGAACTGGGACGTTCAGAGGAACCGGTTCTGGTGCCGTGGAACCGGTTCTGGTGCCGTGGAACCGGTTCTGGTGCCATGGAACCGGTTCTGGTGCCGTGGAACCGGTTCTGGTGCCGTGGAACCGGTTCTGGTTCCGTGTTGCTCCTGGACTCTCAAACAACCGAACCTCTTGGACTTTTATCGGCTCTGAGGTCACAGAGGTTTGGGAAATCGGCCAACGATCCTTAAATCGTGAACCACATAAAAACTCACATCTGCTCTCATCTCGACCTCTGACCTCACGCTGTCTGACTCTGGTCACCATGGTAACGGTTACATATCCCTTCAAAATAAGATGCAGATGGGCCACAAAACCAACATTTTCCTTTTCTAAACATTTAACTCAGGATATCGACTGATGGACCCTGAGCTGTTTCTCCTGCTGGAGACGCTGAAGTGATGCTCAGGGAGACACTGGGTCTCCATGGTGATGCAGTCTGAAGCTTCATTGGCTCATCAGGTCACCTGACCATCCAGAGCAGCTTGGACTGTGGGAATCAACCCACCGGGACAAACCCATCCTCCTGCCTCTCTGGGCCTGCAGACAAACTTTCCAAAGAATCTGATCTGGTTCTGTTCGTTTTGCTGCTTGTGGATCAATGTTGGCGCCAAAACGCAGCCGAGAGAATCCGGTAAAGGATTTTCAAAATAAAAGACCCTCCAGTCTCACATGATACAGAAACATTAGGTGGTACCGCGGCCCGGCACCAACCGGCCCGGTACCAACCGGACCGGTACCAACCGGACCGTGGCCCGGCACCAACCGGACCGCGGACCGGCACCAACCGGACCGCGGCCCGGTACCAACCGGACCGCGGCCCGGTACCAACCGGACCGGTACCAACCGGACCGCGGCCCGGCACCAACCGGACCACTGTCGCAAACGTGATAGAAGTAACAATGAGAGCGCCACTGCCGCCTACTGTGCGCAATTACACTTTATACTAGTACGGCCAAAAAAAAGCCTGTTCCCCAGGATCACACGCCCCCCCAGGTATCGCACTGCGCCCCCCAAAGGGGGCCCGCCCCACTATTTGAGAAGCACTGCGGTAGATCGTCGTGTGTTACGGTAGATCGTTGCTCTGATCTAAATCAAAGATTTATCCAGACTGGGAGAGTGACGCAGCCTGTTGAATGTGACCGGTAGCCAATCAGAAAGCGGACTCTCCTCGTGCTTTCTGAGGGGAAACACGGAGGGAATCCCGAACAGCTGACACGATGCAACCCGAAGTCCAGCAGACATCGGAAACAACATGAATGTTTATTCAACAATTAGTGCAAAGAAAATGTAAATAACTAGGGGAGGAGTTGGAGCGAAATTTCTACCAGAAAAACTTTTCAGCTGTTCTTTGTTAACGTGACATAAATAGTTTATAATGATTTTCATTCAGTCAGACTGACACTAGCCGCATGCATTGCAGGAAGATTGTAGTAAGGAATTGATTAATGCCTGGTTTCAAAGTTAGTGAACTGGACTTATTATTTTGTTTCCATTGTTGGACACAACACGGTTCGATTGAACCGTTATAGCGAGGATTTCTGTCGCTAATGTGTTTTGATAATGGGTCGACAATCCGTGACATCAGATGGTGCAGCGCGCTGGGCATTACACTAAGAAATAAGGAAGGGAGGGTCAGTGGAGTTGAGCCTTTTTTCATTCAGTGTCATCAACAGGAAGAGAAAAAGGCAGGAAGAAACGATATAGACGATAATTGAAATGACGTCGATAATTGATTTATTGTTTATCGCGACAGGCCTAACTTTGACTAGACCATTCTGTTGTAGATCTCCTGCTGGACAGATGAAGTCACACTGGACTTCAGAATACTGCAGTGAGCCCACATCATCACCCCTCCACCACCATGCTTCCCTTGACCAGAGAGACCATTAAAACCTGATGTTGGACCTGAGACGGGTCCAGTGTGAGTGTGTGGTGCAGGGGAGCAGTCAGGTGGGCCTGACCTTCACATCTCAAGGACACCTGGACAAATTGGAGCAGCAGTTTTATTATCGGCGAGCCGGCTGGAACCGGCTGAAGAGCAACAACATGGGAAGAAGATAAGGCTCTGCGTCTTTTAGCAACACGGAGAGCACTGCTGCTGTGTGTGTGTGTGTGTGTGTGTGTGTGTGTGTGTGTGTGTGTGTGTGTGTGTGTGTGTGTGTGTGTGTGTGTGTGTGTGTGTGTGAGAGAACTACCTTGCTGCCCGTCAGCTGTGCCAGGTGGGGCTTCAGCTCCTCTCCAATCACGGCGTAGATGGCCACCAGGCAGAACACGCTGGCCTTACGAACGCTGCTCTCTGTGTTGTCATAACCCTGCAGACACACACACACACACACACACACACACACACACACACACACACACACACACACACACACACACACACACAC